TATTATTAGTTTATGTATTTTTACTGCTATTTTGAGTAGGGAAAAGCTTTAACTGTTTTTATAATTTGAGAACCTTTAATGCAAATGTAACTATTAATACTATAACTATTAATTTTTTGGTAACTTGCATGTTGAAGAAGTTGCAGCTTAGGGTTTGTGAGATTGTCAATGTTAGAGTTCTGTTCTTTCTTTTTGTTGATGGGCATGAATATGCTCATTTGTTTTTGTATATTGCCCATCCCTTCCTTACAGCCAGAAGCTCTAATGCTGCTAGATCACTCCGTACCGCCCTTACATGGACATGGCAACTGACTTACACATTCACTCCCATCATCCTCATCTCCTGTGTAGTACACTCATAGATTTTTACGCTCCCACTCCATCCACCCCAGGCATCTTTTCTTCCCATGAGTTCCCCTCCACCACCCCTTTCTTTAGCATCGTTAAAAATTTTATGTGCAGTCATCCATTCCTTAAAACACACACACACGGAAATTATAGAAAAAAAGAAAATGTTTAAAAAAATATATATCAAATTGACCAAAAAGGCAAAAAAGCAACAAACTTTGCTTTTCAAAAAAAAAGAAAAACCAACATTATATATGTAGATATGCAAACAAGCGAAAGCAAATTCTATAAAATGTACAGGATTTTTCAACTGTAATATGCTAACAACTTTACTTAAGATAACAAAAATACAACCAAAAAATCAAAAAAAAACAGCAGAAAAAAACCAAGTTGAAATCTGTTAAGGTGCAAGATTTTTTTCTTTTCATGTTATGTGGTGTGGATGTATGTGTTGTTGCCTCCCTGTATCGCCCTTTGTTGTAAAACAAATATCTTTAAAAAAAAACACAAAAAAAAGAAATAATAAACATTTTGCTAAAAAAAAAAAAGTTTTTAAGAAACAACAACGACAAAAAAAAAAAGCAAGTAACAAGAATGTGGCAATGCTACTTGTCCAAGAGCATTCTTACACAACTTTCTTTTGTAAATTTTTCCTTTCATGCCAAAAAACATGCGGGCAATTTGTTGATGTAAGTTGACTGTTCTGAAATCAATGTGGTATGCTTTCTAAATATTTTTGTGTATTTTTGATTACTTTTTCTGTTTTTAAAGGAAATAATGGTTTTGATTTTCTTCTTTTTTTTTTTGTTTTCAGTTCCCGTAGGTTTTAATCTTTCTTTTGCTGATAAAGTGAATGACTTGTTACGTTTTGGTTTGTTTTTTTTTCTCCTTTTTTCTGACCTTGTTGCTGTGGCATTTTTATTTTCTGTTATATGGTTTGGTTTTAGGAGAAAAAATATGAATTTGTTTCTTTCTTTCTTTTTGAATCAGTTTGTATTTGCCTTTATGTTATGTGCTCTTTGTATATTGTCGATTACCAGACTGTATTGTGCCTAGGAGGGGGTGCAGGAGCCTATGGTAGTTTGCTCCTATGCTTTATTGGTCCCTCTCTATAGTTTTCTTTCCCCTTCCCTTTCCCAAAATGGATCACCAGTAATGCTACTTTCCTTCATGCTACTTAAATTGTATGTAGCTGAGTGGTGTAGCCTTTATGTCAAGGAAAAAGCAATGAGACTTCTCTAGCATCTCGGTACCTCTCAGAGTCTTCTTACTGCAGCTTTACGTCATTCCTACTTTATCCCCATAAAAGTGGTTTATTTCTATCAATTGTCTTCATTGCTGATGATCTGCCTGATGTCCAGTCTAAATGATACTCTCAAGTGTACTCTTACCAGGTAAACGCACCCATCATGTTATGACTAGTATCAGGCTTGCTAATATCAGTCAGAAATTATACAGAATGGGACACTTGGTGGACACTTGCCTACTGAAAGCCACGTCCCGAACTTCTAAAATTTCCTTGCTTCAAAAGAGGTTTGGATTAATTTCTTTCAAAAACAGTGAGCTTTTAGTAAAAGTAAGAAAAAGCTGTACTTTATAAGCACATAAGTTTTCAGAAAAAAACTGCATTGTAATGCTGTGCCTAGTAGGTATCTTAGGTTCAACTGCTGAGTCCCTTGAACAACTGATGCTGAAAACAACAAATAATTATGCTGAGCAGGAAGCTGTCCCCAGTTAATCACAAGAGTTTAAAATAGAGTATTTTTGCAGTTGGGAGGGACCTACAACAACCACCTGGTCCAAGTGCCTGACCACTTCAGGACTGGCCAACAGCTGAGACGTGTTATTGAGTGCACTGTTCAAATGCCTCCTAAACACTGACAGGCTTGGGGCATCGACCACCTCTCTAGGAAGCCTGTTCCAACATTTGACCACCCTCTTGGTAAAGAAATGCTCCCTCATGTCCAGTCTAAACCTCTTCTGATGCAGCTTTGAATCATTTCCACGCGTCCTATGTGTGGATACCAGGGAGAAGAGGTCAGCACCTTCAAATACCGATGGAAGAAGGAAGAGGGCATGTTTCAGTTGGTTCAGAGAAGTTCAGTGTCATGGGCACTGAAAACCTTAATTTTTGGCTCTAGAATCCTGCCTGCAGACAGGATGTCAGGGCCTCTCTGGAAGGTATTAATATCTGTCTTACTGTAACTGTTTGCACAAAGGTGACCAAGAATTTACAACAGTGAAACACAGCCCAGCATTAGCATTGGATCCCTGGCCTCTCAAACTCTGTACCTTCCTGTTGCTCACGAGCCATGTATTAGGAAGCACTGCAATGACTAATACCTTTTAATATACTTTGCAGGGCTTAGGAAAGCTTTTCAACCGACTCCACCAGAAGAAGTACGGTTTTATCTAATCACTTTGAAGGCTATATGTTCTCTGAAAGGAAAAGGAGATATGTGAGATAAAAAGTTGCAATACTCTATTGTGGAAATGATTTTTTTCTTTCTACTACTGACTGTCAATTGCAATTAAATCAGGCTACAAAGAGTAGCAGATATTAAGAATATTCATCTACTAGTTTTAACGTTAGCATCATCTTTCCTGTGAGCCAGGACTACGTTCTGAATAATTTCCCCAGAGGACTCAGAGGAGAATTAACTAAAACACCGTTAGAATAAAATGGAAAGGACCGATTTTGGTTGCAGAGTTTCAAGTACCTGCAGCAAGGGATGAGTTCTGCAGCCTTTTTGAATGGCATTTAGAAGCGCTTCAGCCACAGCTGGAGAAGAGAGAGACAAAAAGGGTACATCCCTTATCTCCCTTGTTGTCATCGGAAGAACCTGAATCTTTCAGGCTTTGTTTTTCTGTACCTTCTGTCCTGTATCAGTTTGATGCCTGAGACTCCAGTGAAGTCGCTGTGGCTCTAAAGATGAAAGCTGGCGGCTGCTTACAGTTTTTTAGTTTGGGATTCTTTTTTTTTTTTATCAGGGTTTGGTTTTTTTCGTGCCCTCTGCATTCATGACTCGCCCACAACATCCTCACAGTTCATAAGGCTTCTATTAAATTTTTAACACTCTGTCTTTTCCAGTGGCAGAGAACCCTTACTGGAGATCAGCCCCAGAGGTATGAATTATATATCTATAAATACGCTCATAAAGCAAAAAGCAGGGCAGCTCCAAGGCTAAAGTAGACCTTTTATATCCCCAGTGATCTTGGTAGTTTAAAGAAAAGCACAACTCTGTGAAAATAGTATATGTGCTAGATTTAAAGGCTAACTTTTAAGGAATATATGCACCCTATGTTTGCTTTGTGGAATGAGAAGGCCAAGCAGGGCACTGGGCTGCTCAGTGTAAGGTTTCCCACCTCACAGAGCCCAGTTCTCCCAGTGCTGCTTCCAGTTTGCTGGTCAGTGATTTTTTTGCAACTACACTGTTGATGGGCAAACTAATTTTGCCTCTGTATCTCTGCAGATTAAATTATTTTATCCCTTTCCCTTTTGTTTAGTTCTTTGGTGTTGTGTTGTCAACAGAAGCTTTTTTAAAACCATATTTCAGGGCCGCAAAGCATTAATTTTGCCATCAGAGTCCCCGTTGTGTCTCTTACAAGTGGAAATGTGGTACCAGTAACAGTTGTTTGCAGGTATGATATGAAAGTTTGCACTTGCTGCCCTCCATAGATGTTGGTGATCCCATTTCTCACATTTCCTTGGAGCTTTGCAGAATTTACATTCTCTGCTATCCGTAAATAACACTTTTCTCTTGGGCTGAGTGGCACTTTTATCACACCATTTTAAAGGATATTTTAACTCCTCTATAAATCACATACCCCAGGAAGTATTCATTGTGCTTGCGTGCTATTAGACATACAACTTGCAGTGTGCTGTGCGTTTTGCATAGATGCCTAGCACAGCAATAAAGCAGAAGCCAGCTTTGATACTTAGAGTGCTTGTCCTGAGCTACTTTCTCCCACACAGCTTTTTTTCCAGTCTCAGAGCTTTTTCCATTACAGACAGAAAGAAAAATCAAAAATTCAAGGCGTCATTCCCACCCTCACAGCCATAATCTCCCTGACACTTCCCAAAAGTGTGTCGTAAGTAAACGTAACTCGATGGAGAAGTGATTCTTAATGAAGGACCTTTAACAGTTTCTTTTTTTTCTTTAGTACATGTGCAGATACAGCATGGATCATTGGACATTTGGGAGTAAAACTAGAGATGAGATTAAATGATTGTGTTAATCCAGCCTTCCTAGGACAAAAGTTATTTCTCTTCTCCTATACATTGTGAGATTAAAACGCTGTAAAACTCATTTCTGGTTCCATCACTTATGTGAAACTCCACTTACCATAGCAACTCTATCATCTTCTCTTAACATTTCCAGAAGACCGTGGTCATTTTATAGTTGCAGTAGTCTTGATCATTGGCTCAAGTCCTCAACAGTGATAAAACCAATAGAACTGTGACCTGCTTTTAGAGCAAGAGTTACTGGGGCCAAAAAAAAGAGGTTTTTCATATTAAATGTACAATATTTATGATTCCTTCAAGAAAATTATTCATTGATAGGACCAAAAGAATTTCTCTTTGGAAGAAAACTGCCCAAAAATATCGCCCCAGCGGGTGGCAGATCTACTGCATACTGATGCTGTGGACCAGTATAATAGATTTTTAAGAACAAAGGCACTTCAAAGCTCTGGATGAGCAATTAAAAGCTGCCAAACTGATTTTTTTCCAATTGGGTGTCACAGATGGTGAATGAAAATCACAGATGAACACTATTTTTTAACAGCAAAACACTGATCTGAAAAATATCATTTAAAGTGACGCTAGCTAACCCTGCATTTCTGGAACTGAAATTCCTGAATTATGCAATTTGATGTGCCCTTAAATGCTATTATTTTTCTTCATTTTTTTTTACCAGACTCACAGTCTTTCCCTTTGAGGCATAGTCCAAGTTTATCTTAGGACCACCTGTTTGTATAGATTATAGATGCCCTACTCTGACCATGGACAGGGTTTCAGGACATATGTAAATCATATTACATGCTCCAGTTTCTACATTGCACAGACTACTGCTTAGATGCACAAGCACAAAATGCTGTGTAGCCATTTGGCAGACTACACTTTCTGCTTTTTCCATTATTTTTTTTGAATATAGGTACTTTGAAGACAATGGCATCGTTTTACACATACGATACTTACTCCTCTATCCATTAACAGAAGTGTTATGAACGTGCTGAGGAAGTTCAGAAATCTAAGCAAATTTAAATTAGCCATTTGCATCTTAGCTTAAAGCTAACTTTACATAAAAGTATGTTAAGAGACTATGTAAAGTACCACATTTGTTATTTTGGCCTAATTTCTACCCTGGTACGTCTGAGATAAATCTCACTGTTTCAATTGATTAAACTGTGCCACCACTTAGTTTCTCATTAAGGATAAGAATAAGCTATATTGCTAGTTCAGCTATCCAGATTTAATCTAACTGTTAAGTACCTTTTTTCAGTATTTTGCAATCTTCACTATGTAATTTGTTCAACTATATTGCTCTCCAAATATATTTAGAAGGGATTATGATTTTAGACCATATTCTTTATAGAACTCCCATGGACATTGCTGGCAGTATTCAATGGGAAACAAGTTCCTGTAATGCACAGTGTAGATAGGAGAGAGCAGAATTTTGACACTGATGCTACTCAGCATCGTAACGATGCCAAACTGTTCATTAGCAGTTATTAATACATGAGTAAAGCCCAGAACTATTTATTTAGAAGATAAAATTCCTCCTGCAAATCTTTCCTTAAGCGATGGTGAGTATAAATCAAAATTTGCCATGCATTAGAAATATTTCCTATTAAGTTGCACCCCTTCTAACAGATCTTATGGTGTCAGATGAAATCTTCAGTTGATACTTAAAGCAGCTAGCTTAAGTGGCTAGCCAGAGAAAAATTACCCAAGGGAGAATTTATACACAAACTTTCAAAAGCAGTATGGCTTACCCTAAAAAAATGTTGGTGACCCGATATCAGCAGAAAACTGTATGACCTGAACTAAATTAAATAAAGAAATTAATTATGCCCCCACATCACAGCAAAACAAGGGAGCATTAGTTATCCATTGGCTCAAAAAATGTACAGTTGTAGTATAATATATACACAAAACAAGACTACTGCCCTAAAAGTAGCGATATTGCTGCTCAGAAACCGAATTTTGGAAATGATGCCCTGGTTTTCTGGTTTCAGTTGCAGCTCATACTGGGATAAGGTGCAACTGTTATAGCTGTAGCTTTGTTGTTCAAGAGCAGACCATAGGCCTGCTTCGTTTTTATTTGTCTGTAGGCAGGTAGCCATCGTGATGTGAAATAGCAGCACTGATTACAACTATCTGCGTGTCAAGAAGTTACCGTAGGTAACACCGCTGGGCTCAAGCACTAAGTTGGGTCATGGTCCTTATTCAGTTATAAAGTCTATCTTAATTTTTAATCCAATCATAGTAAAAGACTATGAAGAACCAAAGACCAAGATGGTACAGTATTAGCAGACCCAAAAGATGCAAGGAAAGGGACACTTCTAGTGTCAAACAGAATGGTAAAGAAAGCTTAAAAAGAGATGAACAAGCATTGAGTAGAGCTCTGTACTTTCATGGACACCAGTAAGTACTTGGTTCTTATTCCATTCCTCACCTTCATGAACCTTCCCACAATTTAAAAACAGGCAACGATCAAGAAGAATTGGATGAAGGGGAAAGGCCTTAAAAACTGCTATGGAAGGCAAGTGGATTTGAATGGCAGAGAAGAAATACCAACGCTGTCTTAAATGAAAAGAATCAGAGGAGGAAAAACTGATTAGATGAGTGGTAAAAATCTAAGAGAACATTGCTCTATGGAAGTCTAAAATAATTCATTTAACCACTGTAACCAAGTGCTTAAGAAAGATCATTACCAAAAGTTGAGGTCCACAGAGTCACTTGAGAGTATCTTCAAACGTAAAAAAATTTGGGTCCCAACAAATTCAGGTTTTCACTGTACTTACTTAGCATAGCCTAAAAGAGGGTGGAAAGGGAACATGCAGTTTATGAACGTCAAAGCAGGGTGGGAAGGAAGAATGAAAGGCACCCCCAGGAAAGTACATTGGTAGTGTAGTTAGGTTGAGAAATCTGATCCTTGGCACTTTTTCATAATGCCCAAATTCTCTACCGCCCTTGAGTGAAGTAAGCGAATTGAAACGGTGCATTGTGTCATTAAAATGTACTAATCTTCTTTTTTTTCTCTCTTTTCCATCCCAGGAGGTGAATTAGTTATCCCTCTACTTGTAGAAGACCCTTTAGATATCCCTCCTATTGCTACTCGTGCACCTTTCATTACACTTCCCCCTACCTTTCGCCCCCTCCTCACCATTATTGAGACCACCAAAGATTCCCTGTCCATGACCTCTGAGGCGGGGTTACCTTGCTTGTCGGACCAAGGCAGCGATGGTTGTGATGATGATGGCTTGGTGATATCTGGGTATGGCTCAGGGGAAACCTTTGACTCTAACCTGCCCCCTACTGATGATGAAGATTTTTACACCACCTTCTCCTTGGTAACAGATAAGAGTCTTTCCACTTCAATCTTCGAAGGTGGCTACAAAGCACACGCACCCAAGTGGGAATCCAAGGACTTTAGACCTAACAAAGTCTCCGAAACTGGTAGGACTACTACCACGTCTTTGTCCCCTGAGCTGATCCGCTCCACAGCTTCGTCCTCGACTGGGATGGTGCCCAAATTGCCAGCCGGCAAAATGAATAACCGTGAGCTCAAACCCCAGCCTGACATAGTCTTGCTTCCGTTGCCCACTGCCTATGAGCTAGACAGCACAAAGCTGAAGAGCCCGCTAATCACTTCCCCCATGTTCCGTAATGTGCCCACAGCAAACCCCACGGAGCCAGGAATCAGACGGGTTCCGGGGGCCTCAGAGGTGGTCCGCGAGTCGAGCAGCACAACGGGGATGGTCGTCGGCATTGTGGCTGCTGCCGCCCTCTGCATCCTCATCCTCCTGTACGCCATGTACAAGTACAGGAACAGGGACGAGGGGTCCTATCAGGTGGACGAGACGCGGAACTACATCAGCAACTCAGCCCAGAGCAACGGCACGCTCGTGAAGGAGAAGCAGCAGAGCTCAAAGAGCGGCCACAAGAAACAGAAAAACAAGGACAAAGAGTATTATGTGTAAAAAAGAATACTTATTTATATATATAAATATATA